TTCTTCATATGTTGTTGAGGGGCCAAAGAAAGACTTCAGATTAAAAAAATATATATATTCTTCCTATTTTTCTTGGATCAGGCTTTAAAGGGTTAAGATCCCATTCATCAAAGTTGATTGCCATAACCAAAAATACATTTTTTACTTATTGCATGCTAATTTGATCAAAATAATTTCTGTTTTTTTTTTCTTCATATGTTGTTGAGGGGCCAAAGAAAGACTTTAGTCTAAAAAAAATCCAATATTCTTCCTATTTTTCTTGGACTTTAAAGGGTTAAGATCCCATTCATCAAAGTTGATTGCCATAACCAAAAATACCCCCCGCCCCCCCTCCACATTCCTCTGGTTTCTGGGGGGGGGGGCAGCTGTCCGGGGACTGACCGGCTCGCAGCGGTGTGAGCGGGGGCCGTTGGGGTCCGGCCCGGGGCCGTAGGGGTCCGGCCGGGGGGGGTCCGGCCCGCCCCCCCGCAGCAGCGCCTGCAGGGCCTGGATGTAGCTGATGGCGTTGCGCAGGATCTCCACCTTGGGCAGGCGGTGGGGGGGGGCCGGGGGCGGTGCAGCGCCTCAGGCTCTGGAAGGCGTCGTTGACCCGGGACAGGCGCCGGCGCTCGCGCGCGGTGGCCGCCCGCCGGCGGTCAGCGCCGGGGCGGCGCCGCTGGCAGGCCTTACAGGCCCAGGGCAGGCAGCGGCCGGCCTGGTGGGGGCCGGCCCCGGGGGCGCGCACGTGCTGCTCCTCCTCCTCCTCCTCCTCCTCCGCCGAGGGCACGTGGTGGGGGGGGGGCTCCTCCGCCTTCAGCGGCCCGCCGGGCGCCAGACGGGCGTCCAGCCGGGCGTCCAGCCGGGCGTCCAGCTCATCGAAGAAGTTCAGGTCGTACAGGTCATCGGCCGAGGGCAGCGGGAAGGGGAAGTCGGACAGATCCATGGACCCGGGGGGGGCGAGGACGAGGGGACACCTCCCTCTCAGGTTCCCCGGGAAAACGGGCTAAATGTGGAGCGTCCGGCTGGAGCCAGCTGACCGGTTGGAGCTAGCTGGGCAGCATGCTTAAAGGGCCGGTCTGTTGAACCTCAGCTGCCTCTGCCCGGTCAGTATTTATAAAGCAGCGCCGGGGTGGGCGGGGCCGAGGCCGGGGGGGCCAATGGGCTGAGGGGTGTGCGTGGGTGTGTAGTGTGTGAGTGTCCTGTGGTCATCGGGGTGACGCGGCGCAAAGAGGAAGCAGCTCTGAGTCCACCTCACAAACGCCTGGACTCAGAGGAGCTCCCCCGGGTCAGCTTTACCCCCCCAAGCCCAAAGCAAACCACACCAAAACAGTCCGGTCAATCAGATAATCCACAGATCTAGGGTTTACTGTGTTCAGAGATCTGAAAATTCAATTTGAGATCAAATCAGGAGCCAATCTGAGGACCCAAACCCAGATTTGGTTCAGTAAAGCAGACTTTCTCGGGCCGTTTTCTGAAACGTGCACCGGCCTTTTGCAGGTAAACCACCAAAAACAGGCACAGACTTCAAATGGAAGTTATAGAAATCCCACCAAATCCCGTCAGTGGACAGAATCCCAGCCAATAGGCCTCCCTGAGGAGGGGGGGGGGCTCCAAACTTCTCCTAAAGGCCTCAAACTGCAGAAGTCTGTTCATGTTAATCCAAAGCTAAATCACCCTCAACTGGAAGGTGATTTTAGCTGGTAAAAAGCGCCCAAATAGGTGGAATCTAACCCAAAAATAGTGATTTCCACAGGACGTTTGAGCAGCGTTTATTTCTCTGAGTGATCCCTCCGTCTT